TTCATATGTGTTTCTATTTATGTGCTGTGTATGTGTGCGTGTGTGCGTATGTGTGTGCGTGTGTGTGTGCGTATGTGTGTGCGTGTGTGTGTGTGAAAGAAAAGTGACATTAGAAGCAAAAATTTTGAAATTAACTGATGTATTTGAGAGAAAAGAAAACAATGTAGGAAGCAGATTATAGTGATGTTTAATTTTAAAACAAAGTAAATTTCCTAATTATTTTTTTCTTTAAAATTCCCATCTTTTTATCGCGTTTTATAAATTCATTCGACAAATTGCTTCATTTCAATATTTAATTTAACCCTCCTTTAACCTGTTGAGCCTGTCTTTTATAGTATCGAAATGTTTGCCGCAATAATTTTCTATCATCATGTGCAGGTCTGTTTGTTGAGATGACCAGCAACTGTTTGTTTTTCAACATTGTTGAGATAACCAGCAACTGTTTGTTCTTCAACATTGTTGAGATGACCAGCAACTGTTTGCCCTTCAACATTGTGGTGGTTCTTTGGGGGTGACATACATCTTGCTTTAGTCACATCATCAGTTTTCTTCATTCTCTTGTCTTTGTCGTTGTTGTTGTTGCTGTTGTTTTTGTCGTCGTTGCTGTTGTTGCTGGTGAAAGAAGAAAATATTGAAAGTTCTGTGTAAACGAAGAAAATATTGAACGTCATTATTTAGTTTTTTTTTCTTCTAAATTAGACGGTTGCAGCCAAAGAAGATCCTCAACTTTTGAATTTTGTAAATCATCCTTCATCTGAATTTGCCGCTGGCCGTTGTCCATGTGCATTGTGCATGCATGCATGCATGTTGTTGTTATTGTAAATCTGCATGAATATTAATGTTATGCATATTTGCTAATGTTATACATGCATGTTAATGTTATAGATACATATTAATGTTAATGTTGTGCATGAATGTTGTTGTGATGTTGTCCTGCCTACGTATGTTGTTGCTTTTCATGATTGCATGTGCATGTACGTTGTTGTTGAGAGTTGTGCGTGTTTGTTGTTGTGTGTTTTGCATGTATGTTGTTTTTTTGTGTTGTACATGCATATTATTGTAGAGTGTATTGTACATAAAAGAAGTATGCTTGCTGCAGAAGGTATGAATAAGAATTATGAAACTCGATCCGCTAGATGAAATGTGGCCCGCAAATTATTTATTAACTTCTGATGGGCCATTGTTCATAAAAATAAACAGTCAATATTCATATTTGTTTGTAGAAATTCGTTCACTGGTTCACAAGTAGCTTATAGAGTGCACATTGATGGCGTTAAACAGAAGCAGGTTCACAAACATTTCCTTTTATTTGTTTTTGTTCATCTCTTTTAATTTCAAACAAAATTGACAGTAAATTTATGAACTAGTCAAAAGCTGTGTGGTGAACAAGTGAAACAAAGTTTCCATGTTCGGTTCTTGGTTGGAACATTTAAGATCCTTTAGAAAGTTTCAGGAGGAGGAAGGATAGAACATCTGTCTGTCATAATTTCTCTCATCAGATACTTTCAATGTTTGTTGCATTCAAATGATCATTGTATGCAAGTTGTGGGGATTTTTGAAGAATGGCTTAAAGAACATGAACTATTTGCGATCATAAATGCATGCAGATATGGCTACGTTGAAAGAATGCACTGCAGATGTTTAAAATGAGCCACATGTTAACATTTATCTTGCAAGAAATAATAAACATTTGTGCTCTACACAGAGTATCAATAAATTATTTTCCTGAATGATAACATTAATATAAAAATATTTTCATCTGTTTATGATCAATCTTTGTACTTTTTAGCGGTACTCGCCACTTTTCCACAATATTTTCACACCTAATTCTTTCTACGGAACGTTGTTTTCCATTTAAAATGCGAATCGAACGATTGGCTGTCTGAATTATCAATAACGCAAAATCAACCAATGAAATTGTTGCTAACAGATAGCGCAGTAAAAGAAGCAAGATGATTGGTTGGATAAGATATGATAGCGTGTTGTTATTGGTCGAAGGATTTTCAACCAAAGAATTTGTTGTCTACGGTGTATGGTGTCCATGTCAATATATAAAAGTGTGGCATTCAGTGCGACATTTTCAACATTTTGCGATCAATTCTATTCATTAAAAATCTCTATAGCAATCACAGAAATCTATGCACCTAATATTAATAAAGATATCGTGAATTTTAAACTAGAGGTTTATAACTGAACTCCAGTTGCTATTTTTGAATTCAAAAGCAAACGCTTGTGAGGTTAGGAAGTTTTTTTCGTGCTTTCTGTAAATTTATTAGAAAAATAAAAATGTCAACATATTTTATAATAATAATAAAAATGGTAATAATAATGAAAACAAAACGGTGTTGCAAGTACTTTATTCAACGTTGAAGGTTTTTAAGAAAATTTTTAAAGTCATAAAACTATTTTGTTGTGTGATGTATTATAAGTGAAAAAAATGAAAACATTGCACAGACTGTTCATGAAATAATGTATCTAAACTTGTATCATTGTATCACATGAACAATTCTATTTACTCGCTACTGTGTCTAAATTTATATCATTGTATTGTGTAAACAGTAACGTTGTTCAGTTGAGTATCTAAATATATATCATTGTATCTTGTGAACAATGACATTTGCCCATTGTGTTAAGGTAACTATGATATTAAACTTACTCAAGATGCATAATTATGTTTGTTTGTATCAAAGGGTTGTTGTCACTTTCATCATATCAATTTCACTGGAGTGAATATAAACAAGAACAACAACACACGCACGTGCATGCAGTCTAAATTATATTATTTATAGATGAATATTTTGTTGTTGTTGATGTGTGTAATAATTATTTGCCGTTGTGGATATTTGCTGTTGTTTTGTTAATGATTTGTTGCTGTTGTTGTTATTTTGTTTGGTTGTTGTGATGGTTTTATTGAAAGTTAGTTATAGCGTGATTAAAGTAATTATGATGAAGGTTATGTCAACTATAATGATAACGCTATGTACGATGATGATAATGATGATAACGACTGCTGTTCAAAATCGCAAATATAATGTTTAGAATTGATATTAACAACTAAAACAACGCGACAAATATTAATTTCAATTCAATAGCATTGAGAATGTCCTTGATGCTCATTGTGATGTGAATGTCTAAAAACGCTGATCTTTCTGTTGAGTTAATTGCAGAAAATCCTTTCTTGATGGTTTCAATAACAATAAGCATTTGTTTGTAGAGCTGGCCAGTTGTTGAATGAGTTGGAAGGCTTAAAATTTTGTTTGATTGGCTTGCTTCAATTGTGATTTTTTGATTGTCCATTTCTAACAATCTTTGATCTTGCTCGTTGGCTGGTCAGCCATCTTGTTTCGTTACGTCACCGATGACCGGTCAGCCATCTTGTTTCGTTGCGTCACCGCACTCTCCTTCCACCATTCTCTCACCCACCTGATCATTCTATTTTAAAATGTATACACATCTATTTATTAAACAGACATTTTCATAATTATAAAATATGATATGCAAACTATCAACAATTTCGAAATTGAAAATCTAAACAAAATAATTAAACATTTGTTTATAAATTAATGATTATGGTGATAATATTTGTTCGTTCATTCATTTATTCGTTCGTTCGTTTGTTCGTTCATTGATTGATTGATTGATTGATTGATTGATTGATTGATTGATTGATTGATTGATTGATTGATTGATTGATTGATTGATTGATTGATTGATTGATTGATTGATTGATTGATTGATTGATTGATTGATTGATTGATTGATTGATTGATTCATTCATTCATTCATTCATTCATTCATTCATTCATTCATTCATTCATTCATTCATTCATTCATTCATTCATTCATTCATTCATTCATTCATTCATTCATTCATTCATTCATTCATTCATTCATTCATTCATTCATTCATTCATTCATTCATTCATTCATTCATTCATTCATTCATTCATTCATTCATTCAATACTTCCGTGTCTTTTCATACCCTCCATGTACTCGAGTACTCAACTACTCTTGTCAATATACAAATATCTTTTAAAGATATCACGAAAACATTTAGCCCATTCAAATAGTTTCAAATCTCTGTATCGATTGTAGTTTGTAATGCAACTTTTACTCAACTCGAGCTACTGTCGTTGAGAATGTTTAAATTCTTAACTGTACTTTTCATCTTTGAACCATTTTTCTAAATGTACAAATACTCTGCTGTGATTTATAAACAAGGCTGATCGTAAGTGGTCATGAAAATAATCTAAGTTTCTCCGTTTATAATAAGTGCGTTAAAAACAAGTGTGTGTGTTTGTGTGTGTGAGTGTGTGCGTGCGTGTGTGTGTGTGTGTGTGTAAAAGAAAGAGAAAAAAAGAGAGAGAGAGAAAAAAAATAAATTTGTATTACCGATTTTTTTAATTTGATAAAAACCGTTTAATTAAAAAATTACAAAATTTTTTGATATATTTTTATTTAGTTATTTAATAGCGCAATGTTTTTTCATTTTACACAAACACAAACATAAACATAGATAAATAACTGTTAGATCACAAAATTAATCTGAGCAGGTGTGAGTGAGGTAAAGATGGATGTTCTTTCTAAAAAAACTTTCGATAGCGAATATTCCATCGAAAACATCGTCACAAATGCTATGAACAGTAGCAAGCACGCCAGCAAGAAGTCTCATGCTCCAAATTCAGACGATCACCCAGACTTTAAAAAATTGAGATTAGAATCATTACCCACCGATTCATTAACCGCTTGTAACAACAATAACAACCATAACAGCAACAACCATAACAACAACAACAGCAGCAACAAAGAAAAGTTCACAAAACTGTGCTGCAACAGTTGCGACAAACATTTTTCTGACCCCAGCAACTTGCAACGCCACTTGAGGCTGATGCACGATAGCCATCACAACACATCCAACGTTATTAGAAACATCAGCCACAACTTAAACAACCACACTCACATTAACAACAGCAACAACAACAACAGTGGCCCAAGCAACGGCAACAGATCGCATCAATGTCAACAATGTGGAAAATCTTTTGCAACTTCCAGCGGTTTGAAGCAACATCAGCATATTCACAGCAGCGTTAAACCATTCCAATGCGAAGTCTGCCACAAAGCTTACACGCAGTTCTCCAACCTCTGCCGTCACAAACGCATGCACGCTGATTGCAGACAGCAAATTAAATGCTACGAGTGTGGACAGATCTTCTCAACGAACACATCGTTGGGCAAACACAAACGTTTTTGCGAAGGGGTCATCAGCGCTCAGATGTACGATTCCAAGCAACCCATTCAAGGGCAGCAACAATTCCCACATGAACCGCCCAAACAACAACATCAACATTCTAGCAAATTGTCGCTCCACAATTCTTGTTTATCTAATAATGAATTTTTAAATGACGCATACTTCACAATGATCAACAGTCACAATAAAAATAAATGCAAAGACGACAACTGCCACAACAACAAAAACATTGCGGTTGATGGTCACGCGAGCAACAACAACATCGTTAAATTTCAACGACAGTTGAGGTATCAACAACGACACAACTTGCTGGCAAGTCAACCGTATGAAAAGATTAAAAAAACCAACGAAGATCTTGCCGACCACTACAAAGTTGGACCACAATTTGATCTCGAACTTCGAAACAAGAAAACATTCTACCCTCATTATCATCCGTACGTTCGCAACGGCCTCGCCGCCAACAACTTGACCCTTTTAGAAGCTTCAAATATTCAACAGCAGCAGAGACAACAAAAACAAGAGCTCATACGTCATTGTGAACTTTTATTTCAACATCACCAACAACACCATCAACACCAGCATCATCAACAACAAAATCAGCAAACGTTTCAACTGCAACAACAAAATCAGCAACGTCAGCACCATTTTTTAAAATCTTTTCCTTTTGCTCATCATCTTCTTCCTCATCACCACTCACAACATCATCATCAACAACATCAGCAACATCAACAACATCAGCAGCAACAACAGCAGCAACTTCATCTGGCAGTTGAAGCGATGAACAAGTTGAAAAGCATGTTCATCATCACCAACTTGAACTTGCCTCCATTTTCAAATTCGGTGGCCGTTCAAAATTCCATCAGCAGCAAATTTTCAACATTGACTAAAAACGCTGATCAGGATGATAGTGATGATCGTAGCACACGTGGTGATGGTAATGATAATGGTGATGACGATGATGATCATGATGAGGATTGTAGCACTGACGGAAGGAAAAAACAACAACAACAACTCCACAACATGTTGCTCTGGTGGCGATGCAACATGTTGAATCTGTCTCAACACCAACAACACCAGCAACATCATCCACTCACCAGTCCAAAGAAAGATAATGACGATAGAGACGATGACAATGAATGTGACGAAGATGATAAAAGCGACTATAGCGAGGCTGCTGATTATGACGAACCAAATACTACTGATACTACTGCTACAACCTCGTCAGCAACTAAAGCCACCTCAGACCACACATCGCACGCTACATCCACAAACACGAGCGCAACATCATCAACCACATCAACCAAGAGGTTAACTGCATACAGCGTTGTCGACATTTTGAAATAATTTTCATTCCCACTGTTGAGATACCTGAGATTAGACTTGGACTAGTCTAGTTGCAGAACCAGTTAGCAGTATACGGCTGCTCAAACAATGAAAAAATCAAAGTAAATAACTATTTTGAATTTCAAATTTATCGAAACCGCTATTGAAAACATTCTTTCATATAATAAATTTCATCATCTTCTTTATTATTATCATTGTTATTATTATTGTTATTATTATTGTTGTTGTTGTTATTATTATTATTATAGCTCCTCCTATTGCTCTTATTATAGCAAAATGTTATTCAATTTAATATTGAACTGTTGATATTATTATTTGAATATTTGTTATTATTGATATTATTTTAGCGTTTAGCGTTAGAATCTTCTAATTCCCAAAAATTCTAAATTAAAAAATGAATAAATTTGCATGACCCTTCTCTTTCATTTCATGACTGTTGTTGTAAAGTAGCAAATTAAAAAACTTTCAAGTCTGTTTAGTTGTTTTTTCACTACAAATTTCTGAGTTAATTACTAGAACAAATGCATATCTAGAAACAATATACACACATATATGGTACGATGCATACAGTTGTCAAATGTGTAAAGATTTTATTGGCTCAGAAGATTATTAAATGTACAAATTAGTTGAAGTGCAAAAATAAAATTAAATGGATAGTTAATTCATCCAGCTCTATATACATCCAATGCAGAATCGTTGTTGTTGGAATATTGTTGTTGTTGTTGGAATATTGTTGTTGTTGTTGGAATGTTGTTATTGTTGAAATGTTGTTATTGTTAGAATGTTGTTATTGGAAAATTGTTTATGTTGAAATGTTGTTGTTGTTGGAATGTTTTTGTTGTTGGAATGTTGTTGTTGGGATGTTATGTTGTTGGATTGTTGTTGTTGTAAGAATGTTATGTTATTGTTCATCTTCTGATGTTATTCGATGAAACTGAGTTGAATGTTCTACACTGTGACATCAATCAGCAGCATGAAATATATAATTGCTTGTTTATGTTGTTTATGTGGTTGCTTATGATAAAAGCGTTGTGTTGATGTGCATGCTCCCCCAGTAAGTTATCTCGACTTTGCATTTTTATCGTTTCAAACGCAATATATTATCATTTCCAGAATATACAAATAACATCCTTTTCTATATTATAACAAATCAATTTTTTTAATTTCCAAGTTTCCTTTTAAAAAAAGCCCGATGTAAAATGTTAGCCAGCACCCAATTGAAAGTTTTAGTATTAAAGTTTAATAATAAGGTTTACAGACAAGAAATTTCTAAATGTCAATAATGACGTCATCACTAATGGCGATTCTTTCCAGATTGGCTGACATGTACATCACGTGATTAATTACTAGAAAAGGTCGAGGTCATATAAAATGCGTGTCACTGGTCAGTTAATTAAACAGGTCATAATATTAATAAGACGGTTTTGTAATTGGACCACGTGCGTTCGAAGCAAGTGCTGATGGATTGACGTATTTATCTCAAGTTACGAAACCGCAAATCTTGTGGTGCCTGAATTCCGCTGAAGAAACAAACTGGAGCTTGTTTATTGCTTATATATTATATATATTATATATATATATATATATATATATATATATATATATATATATATATGTGTGTGTGGGGGGGGGCGTGTTTTTTAGTTTGATAGTGGTTCTTCATTTAAGTATGTTTTATTAAATAAAGCATGGTTCATTTTGTTCAACATTTGTATCCAAGGTAAATTAAACTAAATTAAACCGTCAAAATAAAATAAGATTAGTGAGTTTACAAATATATTGTAAGTGTTTTATTGAATGATGGATGTGAGTTTGAATGGTCGAGAGGGGCTGCCTCACCTCGTTGACAATGTCTTGGTAACTTTGATGGACTCATCATGGCACATCACAGTCACCAACTTGGCTTTTATATCGGTATACAGCATGCAACATACGTGAAGAAGGCCAGTCGGCAATTTGCGTACTATTGTTTTTAATTGTTCAATTAGTCTTGGTGATATTTCTATAGAGAATTGAGTTTAGTTTTTTGGTTCTTTTTGTTTCTTTTGTTTTGTTACTTTACTGAATAGTTTTTTAATAATGCATCAAAATGACAACATTAACGTTCATGTCAAAAGAAGCAAAAGCATTTGCAACAACACAACAGCATTAAGGCTGCATGCTGGTTTGTTTACAAGCACGCACAAACAAAAAAAAACAACCAGCAACAATACGAGTAACATTTCAAGCGGCACAAACACTTCGACAATTCACGCAACTGTGCAACAGCGTTAACAACAATAACAAAATCGCAACTACTACAACACACCAAAAACGTCAACTTTTCAATTATGCAACGACGCAAAAGCAATTTCAGACCTGCAACAACAACATATAAACCGCAACTGGACAACGTCAGCAACAACATTTAGCCAGAGCTACAGAAAAACAATCTGAACAACAACAACAACAACAACAATTCTTTGATGACTGCAGGACAACACGACATGGGTGGGCCAGTGATATAAAATATTTGACTTGTGCTACAAATTAAACAGAGGACCGACAAATGCTCATGAATATTGATGAACCTACTGCACCGATCCGATGCCTGCCTGCCTGCCACTGCCCATGCTTCCAGGTATTCCTCACTGTATTCTTCTTTTTCTCTCTTTCACTCTCTTTCTTTCTCTCTTTTTCAATTTTCAAGAAAAAACAAAAAATTGAGTAACAATTAAAGCAAAACTTACAACTATGCATGAAAGCAAATTGGTGATAAAACGCGAGGTTATTTCACTCGTTATCACTGCCGTCCTTACTATGATGATCGTCACTTTCATCACCATCATCATCATCATCATCATCATCATCATCAACAGCAGCAGCAACGTATTCGTCATTATCGGCGTATTCTCAACTATCATCATCTACCAATGTAAGTAGATGGTTTCATGAGATGACTCCTCAAAATCATTCATGCTGGATTGAAGGTCTTCGGAGTACAAATCTTGCGATAATGATTGTTTTTATTTTTCAAAAAATTTTGAAATTATGTTTGCATAATTATATTTTTTTATGTATTCATAATATTAAACTGATAATGTTAACAAGAGTCATCATCGTAAGCGATAGAACGGAACATGTTAGCGTGATTTATCGCTCACCAACAATGATAATGAAATTGCGCGGGCTTGCGCAAAAAATTGTATACAAAGATATTATATACAAAGATATTATATACAAAGATATTATATACAAAGATATTATTTACAAAGATATTATATACAAAGATATTATTTACAAAGATATAATTTACTATGATACCAGAAAAACGATAAATCCAAACAAATTATAAATAAATGTTTGAGTGTATATGTTTATGCGTGGTGGGTGTTTATAACTATTACAATAATATTCATATGTGGTGGAGAGCCGCATGGTGGTACTTTGATACATTTATATACTAATCGTGAACAAACACATACCACAGTTCACACACAAGCACACCACACACACACACACATCATACACATACACACACACACACACATTGTAGCTGCTTGCATGTCTATATATAGCACATGCGCGTGTGTGTCATTCATGATAAACTCAACACAATAAAATATCCCATCTATAAATCAACTTAATTTGTTTGCCTCCGTTTCTGCATCTAA